AAGATCTTAAAAGTAGCCAGTAAGAAACAATGTGTTACCTATAAAGACACTAATCCAAATGACAACAGATTTCTTGTCTGAAACCATGGAGGCCGTGAGGAAGTGGTACAATATTTTCCAAGTGCTGAAAGAAAAGAATTGCCAACTGTGAATCCCTCAGCCTTCAAAAATGAAGGGGAAATAAAGTCATACTCAGACCCTGGAGAGCTTGTTGCTCACAGATGTATCCTTAGGGGAGGCTCTCCAAGAAGAAAGACAATGATAACAGAAGAAGGCGGTGACAGTCAGAAATGAAAGAAAAGACAATCAAACAGACAAAACTGGAAGCAAATATGATAGTCTCTCCTTTACCTCAGGAGTTTCTTTAATCATATTTTGTGATTGAAGCCGAAGTTATAATACCATCAAATGGGTTCAACGTATAGGATGTAAAACACTTAAGACAAGTATGCTTAAAACGTGAGGATAGTAAGGTGATCCAGTGTGGACACCAGTAGGCTCTGATAGGTTAGAAATGTATATGATGATACCTAGGGCCACCGCTAAGAAAACTACTCAAAGGAATACACTAGAAAGAAAGATGTCATAAGGAAATCAAATGGAGGTCAAGGTGTTCAAATAGCCCCACAGAAAGGCAAGGAAAAAAAGAAATAGAGGGATGATAATCAGAGTAACAAGCAGAAGACAAATAATAAAATGGTAGACTTGAGCTCTCACATAATAAAAACTTTGAAAAAAATACTCTAGATTCACACATTACAGGCAAAGATTGTCAGAGAATGTAAAAAAAAAAAAACATAACCCAAGTATATGGCTTTTACAAGGAACTTCAAACACAATGACATAAGTCAGGTTGGAAGTAAGTGGATGGAGAAAAATACATCATGCAGGCATTGATTTTTAAAATGCAGGAGTGGTTACATTAATATCAGATAAAGTGGACTTGAGAGCACAGAAAATTACTATGTACAAAGAAGGATAGTACTTAATGGTAAAAGGATCAATACCACCCTTATCAAGAAGATCTAGCAATTCTTAATGTGTGTGCATCTGACAACAGATGCTCAAAATATAAGAAGCAAAAACTGATAAAGATGAAACGAGAAATTGACAAATCCACAACTGTGGTTGAAGATGTCAATGCTCCACCCTCAGTAACTCATTTTAGTACTAGACAAAATACCAACAAGGATATACTCTATAAGAAATAAACAAAACCAGGCTGGGTGTGGTATTGCATGTCTGTAATCCCAGTAACTGGGGAGGCAGAGGCAGAAGGATCACAAGTTCAAGGCCAGCTTCAGCAACTTAGAGAAGCCCTAAGCAATTTAGTGGACCCTGTCTCAAAATAAAAGATAAGAAAGGGCTGGGGATAGGGCTCAGGGGTAAAGCACCCCTGGGTTCAATCCCCAGTACCAAAAAGAAAAGAAAAACATAAAACCATCACCAGTAGGATCTAATTGACATTCGTAGAATATTCCACCTAACAACAGCAGAATATTTATTATTTTCAAATGCCCAAGACAGACCTGCACCATAAACCTTAATGCCATTGTTCATCTCCCAAAGTTATGAAGCTTGATCCCTAGGATACTGGTGTTAAGGTGATGGAAACTTTAAGAGGTATGGCATAGTGGAAAGTGACTAGGTCAAGGGGCTTCAACCTCATGAATAAGTTAATGCTGTCTTATGGGAGTGGGGCACATCTAATAGGAGTGGATTAGCTCTCTCAAGAATAGGTTGTTACAAAGCCAGGCCACCCCCACATGCATGACTTCTGCATGTGTGCATTCCCTCTGCTTCTTTCCCATGTTGTAAGACAGTCAGGGGGAACTCAAAAAGATGTGAGTCTGTGCTGTTTGGACCCTCCAGCCACCATATTCATGATCCAATCATGCCTCTTTACTTCATAAATTAATCAGCCTCGGGTATTTTGTCATAGTAAAAGAAAATGCATTATGCACTTAACAAACTAAAAATTATTGAAATCATGCAGATTATGTTCTCTGATCAGAATGGAATCTAACTAAAAATCAATAACAGGAAAATTTTCAAACACCCTGAAATTAATCAACTTAGTTCTAAATAATTCATGGATCAAAGAGGAAGTCTCCAAGGAATTTAGAAATTGCATATACCACTGAATGAAAATGAAAACACAACATGTCAAAACTTGTGAGATACAGCTAAAGAAGAGATAGTGTCAAAATACACTTTACTGTCATGTATATCTAAAAAGATGAAATAAAATTGTTAAAAAAGAAGTGATAAGGGGGAAATTTATAACCCTAAATGCTTATGTTAGAAAAAAAAATTGAAAGTTTCAAATCATTTATCTAAGGTCTCATCTCATGAACTTAGAAGAGAAAATTATACCCAAAGAAAGTAGAATAAAAAAACATAGCAAACATAAGAGTAAAAACAACAAAACTGAAAAACAGACAAAATTAAATGAAAATCTACTTATTTGAAAAGATCAATAATAAAATACTAGCAAGATTGACAAAGACAGGAAAGAAGACGTGCATGATCAATAGTATGAATGGGAAAGTGAATGTAACAATAGGTTCTGCAGCCATTATATGGGTACAAATGGAATACTACAAATAATTTTATGTTTATAAATTCAACAACTCAGAAGAAATGGACAAAACTATAAAATGTAACCAAGATGAAGTTGATAGCCTGAATAGCTTTATTACTATTAAATAAATCACATTTGTAATCATGAAGCTCCTCAAAGAGAAATCTCCAGCCCAGATGGTTTCATTAGAGAATTTTACCCAACATTCAAAAACAAAGTGCTAAAAGATTTGTAAACACAATTTTTACAAAACCTCTCTCAGCAAATGCAAGTGCATTGAACACTTCCCAATTAACTTGGTTGAGCCCATAATTACCCTGATATCAAAACCTGAAGAGAACAGCACAAAAAAGAAAATTACAGACTAATATCTCCTATGAACTTAGACACAAAGGTACTCAACCAAATTTTAGCACATTGAATGTATAACAAAGAATAATAAACAATAACCCAGTAGGATTTACTCTAGGTATGCCAAGTTGGTTCACTATCCAAAAATCAATTAATCTAACCTATCATATCAGCAATCTGAAGAAGGAAAATCAAACCAGCCATGGTGGTGCACATCTGTAATCTTAGTGGTTCAGGTGGGTGGCTGAGGCAGGAGGATCATAATTTCAAAGCCAGCCTCAGAAACTTAGCAAGACCCTGTCTGTAAAATTAAAAAAAAAAATTTAAAATAGGCTGGAATATGGCTCAGTGGGTAAGTGCCCCTGGTTCAATCCCTGGAAGAAGAAAAAGAAAAAGAAGGAGGAGGAGGAGGAGGAAGAAGAGGTAGAAGAGGAGGAAGGGGAAGAGAGAGAAGGAGATGGGGATGGAGAAGAAGAGGAAGGAGAAAGAGGAAAGAGAGGAAGGATTAAAATCATAGGTTCATATTAAACATCAGTACCCATTCATGATAATACCCATTCATGTACCCATTCATGATAATAATTTTTGGTATCTAGGAGTAGAAAGTTCTTCAGTCTCATAAAAAAGCATATACAAAAATCCTGCAGCTTATATGATACTTTTTTTTTTTTGAGATAGGATCTCAGTATGTTGTTCAAACTGACCTCCAACGTGTAATCCTCTCGCCTCAGCTTCCTGAGAGACTAGGATGATAGGCATGCACCACTGTACCTTTAATACATTACACTTGATAGTAAAACACTGAATGATTTCCCTCTGGGATCAGACATAAGAATGTCCACTTTTACTGCCCCCATTCAACATAGTATTGGAAGTTTTAACCACAGCTCTAAGGCAAATAAATGAAAGAAAAAAAAGCATACAATGGCTTAGAAGGAAAAAAAAAACCTTTCTCTATTTGCAGAAGGCATATTGTCTACAAGGAAATTACCAAATACCAAAAAAACTCTTAAAACTAGTAAGAAAAAAAAAAGAAGAAGAAGAAGAAGGAGGAGGAGGAAGAAGAAGAAGAGGAAAAGAAAAGTTCAGTGAGTTCACTAAAGTCACAGGATACACAAAATTCAATTATATTTTTATGTATTGAAGAACAAATAGGAAAATACTGCATGATTCCATTTATATAACATTTACCAAATAGTGTAATTATAGAGATTGAGAATAGATTAAGTGGTTGCCATGTTTAGGTATGCAGTGGAGGAATGGGGAGAATATGTATAAAAAGGGAAATAAAAATTAAAAATACAATACCATTTGCAATTTCCCCAAAGAAAATGAAATACCTATGTGTAAATCTAACAAAACAGGTAAAGGATCTATATGATGTAAATTACAAAATGCTGATGACAGAATTAAAAGAAAACCTAAATATTTGGAGAGACATACTATGTTCATGGATTAGAGACTTAACATGATAAGAATGTCAAGACTGTCTAAAACAATCTGTTGTAGGCTTAATGCAATTTTAATCAAAGATTCTCAGGAAGATTTTTTGGTGGATATAACAAGCTTATTCTAAAATTTATAAGAAAAACACAGGCTTAGCTTGACCAAACTTCTTTTTTTTTTCTTCAATGCTGGGGATGCTAGGCTAGCACTACTATTCTTCAATTAAAAGGAATGATCTATTGGTACTCACAATAACTTTGATGAATGTATAGGAAATTATCTTGAGAAAAAAAGACACTCTCGATAGGATAATACTGCATGATTCCATTTATGTAACATTTACCAAATAGTGTAATTATAGAGATTGAGAAAAGATTAGTGGTTCCCAGGTTTAGGTATGGGGTGGAGGAATGGGGAGAATGTGTATAAAAGAGCACACAAGGGAGTACTGTGGTGAGGCACAGTTAAGTATCTTGATTGGGGTGATGGTTACACAAAGCTATGTGTGTGATAAGTTGCATAGAGTTACACACGTGTGCATGCACACACACCCACACATGAGTGCATAGATGTGTTAATCAGCTTTTCATCATGTCATCAAGTGCTCAGCAAAAGCAACTTCAGGAAAGAAAAGTTTATTTTGGCTCACAGTTTCAGAGGTTCAGTCCTCCATTATCAGCTGATTCCATTGCTCTGGGCCCAGGGTGAGGCAGAACATCATGGCAGAAAGGTGGGGTGAAGAAGCACTGCTCTGCTCATGGTGGCCGAGAAGGAGAAGAAGAAGAAAAGGACAGAGGTCATATGGAAGATGAACCATTCTAGAACATGTCCCTAGTGACCCACCTCCCCCAGCCACACCTCACCTGCCTACAATGACCACCATTACTGCATTCAAACTAGGAAGGGCTGATTAGGTTGCAGCCTAATTTTACCACACATTTTTACCTCTGAATATTTCAGCATTAACCCAGGAACTTTGGGAGGAACACCTCATATCCAAACCATAGCAATAATAAAATTTGTAGATGGCACCCACGTTCACTTCCTAGTGTGGATTTTTCATGATCATTATGTAAGATGTTCCCCTTGGGGGATGTAGAATGAAGCATAACAGGACACTTTGTACATTTCTTTTCCATTTCCTGTGAATCTATAAGTTTCAAAATAAACAGTTTTAAAAATTAAAACTTGAGACTTGAACCCACGTTCCCAGTCTCCAGGAAGCCCAGCTTTGCTCCAGAAGGGGCTCTGTTTTATTCTACGTCCTTTGCAAGGTGCCCCTGATACCTATGTGATGCTCCATAAATATTTGCCCAACAATAAAATGAAGGCATAAAGACATTGGGGGTCCCTGGGGCCTGTGGACATGTGACTCCCCCAGCCTGGGTTGTCAGGTGTATTGGCCTGAATGTTTGTCCACCCAGGACTCATCTAAATCAGGGCCAAGTAGGGCAGAGAGCTTGAATTATTGCAGCAATGCACACAGGAGAACTATACCAAGCAGGAGTCTGTTTATTCCTTCAGCATCATCAGTGAAGGTTGGAGGTGAGAAGAGCACCCAGCTAATGTGCTAGAGATATGGAGGGTTCATACCTCATTTTCCTAGAGGGCACATGGAGGAAGACTGCTGGGCAAGTGCATTAGAAATCGGTGAAGGCAAAGGCCCAAATGCATGAAAGAGAGGTGTTTGGAGTTACACACGTGTGCATGCACACACACCCACACATGAGTGCCTGGATGTGTTAATCAGCTTTTCATCGTATCATCAAGTGCTCAGCAGTTGCCAACATTCCTAAAGAGGGCTGCTTTCTGGCTTCTAGTTCCCACCTTCTACACTCAGGGCTTGTGCCCACTCTGCCAGCTGGCAGGGGATGCCTAGTTCATAATCCCTTTCTCCTCTTTCTTCCTCAATGGAGAATCATCTTTTTCTTTTTTTTTTTTTCTCAGTTGCTTAATGCGATCTCCAAAGTATAGCAATCAATGAGAGGAGATATTGGGGAGGTGGGAGTAGAGGGTCTGAGTGGACATGTCCCATGGGCAGAGTATACTGTACCCCCTGAGCTGTAAATCAGACCTGCTCTGGGGGAGCCCTCTGCCCTCCGTTCAGTTCCTGGCACCTAGTGTGGGCCTGTCTTTGGCTGAGGACAGTGACCTGTTGCATGTCACTCTCTCTACCCACCACAATTGCTTCAGAGTGGGAAAAGTCACCTAAGCCTCTCTAGAGGGACCTCTAGCATGGGTGTGGGACTCCCTGCCTCCACCAGAGCTGCTGGCTTCTGAAAAACTCCAGGAAGGAAACTGATTCCAGGGAGCGGGGTGTGGAGGAAGGAGGAGAGAGAGAGAGAGAGAGAGAGAGAGAGAGAGAGAGAGAGAGAGAGTCTGGGGGAGGAGACTGAGCCCTGATGAGGGTCCCTCCTGCCTCCAGCCATGTCTGCACTAGCCTGCTCCAAGGCCTCTGGGCTTTTCGGTTATGTGAGCAAATACACAGTCATGTGTCATGAATCGGTATTCCAGCCAGTGACCGACTGCATACACAACAGATTATACTGAAGCTGAAATATTCCTATCACTTAGTGACATTGTAGCCATCATAAAGTTTTAGTGCAACTTAGACAACTGTTATGTTTTGGATGTGAGGTGTCCCTCAAAAGCTCACATGTGAGACAATGCAAGAAGGTTTGGAGGAGAAATGCTTGGGTCCGGGCCTTCACTTAATCAGTGAATTGATCCCTAATGGTGGGGTGTGACTGGAGGAGGTGGGGCATTGGGGGCGTGGCTATGGGGTCTATATTTTGTACCTGGTGAGTGGAATCTCCCCCCAACCCCCTCTCTGCTTCATGTGAGCCACTTCCCTCTGAAACAGTCTTCTGCCATAATGTTCAGCCTGACCTTGAACCCCAAGGAATGGAGCCTGCCATGGATGGATTGAGACCCCTGAAACTGTGAGCCCTCAAATAAATTTTTCCTCCTCTACAGTTGTTCTGGTCAGGTCCTTTAGTCACAGCAGTGAAGAAGCTGACTAAAACCACAAGCGTAGTGCAACTTACTAGAAAAATTTGTGGATGGTTCCGAGTCCGTTTCCTAGTGTTGAGTCTTCATGATTGTGCTTGTGGTGATGCTGGTATAAACAAATCTGTTTTGATACGTTTAGATGCACAAATACTTACTATGGTGTTACAGCTGTCTACAGTATTCTGGCCAGTAACGAGCTATACAGCTAACCTAGGAGTCATAGGTTATATCATATAGCCTAGATGTGCACCATACAGGTTTGTGCAAACGCACTCTATGTATGATGCTCATGTCACTATGACACAGTTCCCAGAACATGTCTCTGTTATTAAGATGCATGATTGCATTTCCTTTTTTTTTTTTTTTTGTCTTATGCCAATTTGAATTGGGGTTTCTTTTGCAACCTAAAAGTCCTGACTGATAAAAGAATTATCTACTCTAGCATTGTCACGGGCCCAACATGTGGATTTTGAAGATTACATCTACTGCTTAACATAATAGGAAAAACTATGAGAACTTGGGAAATGGTGTGAGACCAGCCCCTGATTCCCTGCACAGGAAAATCTCACGTAAGGAGCAGATAGAAGACAGAACCTAGCAGACAAATGTTAATACCTTTCCTGGACTTCATGGCTGAAAAATGAGGGTGAACTGTGGGTGAGGTTTTAAAACTTTTAAGAAGTAGAATTTACTTCTTATTTAGGCTTTAGGATGTCCCCCATAGTGATCCTACAGAGATACCTAAGAAACAGGAAAAATTGTAAAGAATCTAATTTATATTCATAATTCTGAAAGGTAATTGCATCTAAAATATGAAAGCAAAAAAATCATGCAAATGGAACAGTCTGAGGACAGAAATATTCTTGGAGATTAAAAAAAAAAACTCATCAATAAATTTTAAAATGTGAGAAAGGCCATGAACAGCAGACCAGATAATGAAAACAGAAAACCGAATCAATGAATGAGAACACAGGCTCAAGAAATTCTTTGAGGAAAATTCTAAAACAGATTAAAAACCATAAAATACCTATGAAATTAGACTCAAGCCAGAAAGAGCAGGATCATTGAAGATCATCAAAGAACTAGTGGAGTTTTCACAGCCAGCAACCCAGTGGGCTGAGCTAACAGAACCCCTGTGCCCAGTACAAGCACACAGAAATGGTGGATGAAATAGAATAACAGCAACGAATCCTGGTAATTAATATACTTTGAATGCATAATGGAACATGTAAGAATGAGAGAAAATGAAATCCCGAGCACGGAAAATGAAGCACCAACCCAAGGTCAAAAAACCAGCCTAGGCAACACAGTGAGATCACCTCTAAAAATTTAAAAAGTCTATGCATAGGGCTGGGGTTGTGGCTCAGCAGTAGAGTGCTCGCCTAGCACTCTACTGGTTTCAGTCCTCAGCACCACATATAAATACATAAAAACAAAAGTATTGTGTTCAACTTCAACTAAAAAATAAATATATTTTTTAAAAGTCTATGCATAAAAAAAAATTCATCATGAAGGAGAGTCAGCAGATGTAACATATAGGAGGAGTACCACCCAGGAATTCAAGATAAAAGAGCAAGTTGAAAAGGATTATAAACAGAGATGTAAAGAGAAAAATTTTGAACGTTTTGCAATGTATTCATGTGTCAAAGTATCAAGGGATACCCCACAAATATGGACAACTTTTGTGTTAACTTAAATTTTACTTTTAAATTTTAAAACTGAGAAAGTAAAATTAATAATGTTAAGACTAATAAAATAACAAAAAGAATGATTTTTAAAGAACTCTAGGAGTCTAAGATGAAAAAGATAAAATGGCTAGGAGTGATAATAAAATAAGAAGAATCTATAAGAAAAGAACAGGATAGTTTGAAAGTCTGTGTATTCATATATACACACACAAATATATGCATATCTATTCAGTATATTTGAAGACATAGCAATATAAGATAAAGAACTGAAGCAGAAAGAAAAAAATACTTTAAACATGAACAGACCTGTGGGACAATATGGAGCAGACTAACACTAAAAGAGATACACAAGGAAGTGAGGAGGGATTATTTTTTCTCCCCAAGAAGTAACAGTCCAAGTCTTCCTTGAATTGATGAAAAAAAAAATTCTCTCATAAACCAAAGAACCCCAATAACCCCAAAGCAGGACAATCACAAATAAATAATTAAATAGCTGAAAGCAGACAATAAAGAGAAAATTTTAAAACATGTATATATATATATAAAAAAAAAATTAGAGCCCGACACGATGGGACATGCCTGTAATCCCAACGGCTCAGGAGGCTGAGGAAGATCTTGAGTTCAAAGCCAGCCTCAGCAACTTAGCAAGGCCCTAAGCAACTCCGCAAGACCCTGTCTCTAAATAAAATATATAAAAAGGGCTGGGGATGTGGCTCAATGGTTAAACACCCCTAGGTACAAAAGCGGGGGGAAAATAGGTCAAAGTGAAATTATTATCCAAACAGCACAATCTAAGTGCATCCAAAATCATTTTCAAATACATCTTAAAATCTATCCTTAACTTAGTCAGAAGAGTAGGTTGTTATTTTTTCCATATTTTTATTGGTGCCTTATAATTATGCATAATGGCAAAATTTGTTGTAACATATTTGTAGATGTACACAATAAAACAATATAATTTAAATAATTTAACACTGAAGAATAAAATCTCCTAAGAGGCAGCTGACTATATCATGCCACCATCATAGCCACCATATGCAGAATTTTAAAA